GGACGACAAAAAAATTGTTCTGATCATCGTTATCGAAGTGAATAATCATTTGACTTTCCTGATCGGCAAAAAGTCATTTTGAAAAGTGTCTAATGTCGGAGTCGCTCAAACGTCGGTCGCTCAAATGACGGTCGCTCAAATGTCGATCGCTCAAATGTCGGGGTCGCTCAAGTGTCGGGCGCTCAAATGTCGGGCGCTCAAATGTCAGGCGCTCAAATGTCGGCGCTCAAATGTCGGGCGCTCAAACGTCGGTTGACGCTTTTAACAAATGCATTTTGTAGAGCAAACATTTTTCTACAAAATTAGATATTTTACAGCTCTGAGAGAATCGTGATAACTGATTTGTAGCAATTCTCCCGGATGCCTTAACACCAGTTAAAAACTGGTGCATGCCTAGTCGACATGCGGACAGTAGAATTCAGCTCTTTTTTCTAGATCAACGATTGTTGAATGCGATGATACAGTGTTATCCTTGCTCGATGTCAACGAAAACAATCAAAATTTTATTGGCATTTGGCTCGATTCGTCTTACAAGAATAATACTCATGCATTCGCTCAACTAACACGTATTTTTAATAATTTAAAACCATTCGACGACGCATGTGAATGTATTTCATATATAGTCAATATACACGCAAAAAGAATAATTTATTTTATCGTTTCGAATTCTTTTGGTCGATTAATTCTTCCGCTTATGAATAAACGTTCAGAAATTCTATTTATATATATTCCCTGTCAAAACATATCTGAATATGATAGCTGCAGACAACAAGCAGATTACAATCGCATTTTTGTGTATAATGATGATCTAATGTACCAAAAAATATCAACAGACATTGCTAATCAGTCGGCTGTAGAATCGTGTAACTCCTACAAGGAAATATTACCGACCATCAATTTATTTAGTCCCAGTGAGAAGAATTGTTCAATGAAAAATTTGAACAAAAATTCTGTTGCATTTATCTGTTTTCAATTAATTATTGAAATATTATTAGGTATGCTACGCATGTCAGTCACAAAAAATACAAAAGAAACTATGATAAAAGCATGTCGACATTTTTATCGAAACAATCACGAGGAAGAAAAAAATATTTTCGAGTTCAATTCCCGTTACTCTTCGGATAAAGCTATATGGTGGTATACGCGTCCTTGTTTCTGCTATCGTTTAACAAACAAAGTTTTAAATACACAAGATCCTGATTGGTTATATACATTTCGTCTCATTATAACTGACATACATAATCAACTACTTGAATTGTATGAGAAATTCATTGACACTCCACCACAAATTATCCTCAGAGGTAAAGTAGTGCCGTCAAGTCTTGTTTATAATTTACAAGAAAATGTTGGCGGATTAATTTCGATAAACGGATTTTTATCAGCCACAACATCGGAGCAAATCAGAGATATATACGGCAGCCGAGATAATCCAGTTAGGGAAGGCTATGAGCGAGTACTGTTTCGATTGATTGTCGATAATCATATTAAAACAAAACCATTTGCGTTTATAAAAGACTACAGTGCCATCCCAGAGGAGAATGAAGTTTTATTCTCAATTGGGACAGTATGGTGTATCGAGTCTGTCGAACAAGACGACGAGGCATTGTGGCATATTGTGCTCAGATCAAGTGGTGAACAAAATCAATGATGTGTTGAATTGACTGATTACTTAAAACAACAGATTGGCCGACACTATTAACATTGGGAAATTTTCTTAGTGAAATTAAAGATTATAACAAAGCCGATAAATACTATGAGATATTATTGAAAGAATTGCCTAAAAATCATAAAGATATAGGTGCAATTTATAGCAATCGTGGTTGTCTTCAGTGTGAAAAAGGTGCATACGATCTTGCTGAACATTACTTCAACTGTGCAATCGAAAGTATAAGCGCAGAGTGCCCATCATCGATATTGATTGCACAATGTAATATAGAAGTGGTTCGTTGCGAGCGTACTTTGATTTTTGAAACTTCCTGTGATGTGTTACAGAATACCGTTGATCTGATAACAAAATCGTTATCATCAAATGATCGATCGCTTGGTAAACTCTACAATAATATCGGTTACATTCATTATAAAAGGGGACAGAATGAAGTGGCTATGAAAAACTATCAACAAGCAATAAATATTCTATTACAGCCTACAAACCGTAATCCAGCTGATTTATCAGCTGTGTATAATAATATCGGTGTCATATATTTCAAAGCTAAGCGTTACGATGATGCGTTAAAAAGTTTCCAGTCAGCAATTGAATACGGTTTGTTATTATTGTCACCTACACATCAATGGATTATAGATTATGCAAAAAATAAAAAAATAGTATTGAAATACATTGAGGCGAACTGTGAACAACGATAATATAATTCTTCTTTTGAATAAAATGAGAGAACAGGTAAAATGTAATACTGTGGTTGAAAACAAGGAAGAACTTGTTGTTTCTGACTGAAGTTCCCTTTCCGACCTCGAAAATAATAAGGTTTTTAAAACTGCGTTTGATGTGTTTCTAATTCAAAAAGCTTGTTTTCTCATATCTGCACACTCAGAAAAATAAACCATGTTCCCGCCAGTATGAAAATTTCGTCAGTGAGTCGGAAAGAGCCAAAGTAATTTTACCTATATGATTGGATTTTAATGAAATTATCTCGACTTTGTACACTTTGGCGAATGATACGTCCCGTCAGTTAACCAAAGGCAGCAGTGAAAGTAATTATTTTTCAAAATCCAGCCTTGACCTTTCCCACAGGTACGATGAGAAGTAGAACCAACGCAAAAGATTTTTATATCTTTTAACCAAAAAGCTATAGGTTTGCGCAATGCATCGTACCACATTAATACTTTCGTGCAGGATCGAACGACTCTTTTTATATTTTAAGTTTATCTCGTACAGCACCAAAATCGGTTTTGTATTCCATATGCTATACTCTTTTGGTTTTCTAAAACACCGACTTTTTTAGAGCGCAGAAGGTAATGAAGAAAATATTGTTCTGATCAGTAAACACTAAGACGATTGAAGGATGCAGCAGAAAACTGGAATCCGTTGAAGAGAAAAGAAAAACAATTTAGAAGAACAAGATTTTCAACACCTGCGTACTGGTTAATATGACAGATATACAATGATAAAAATAACGAGCAAATCTATATACAGAAAACAAATTTTAAAAAGTCGAGATTTACAATTTAACTTAGGGCTCGACTATCGCGTCAGAAATCTTTTTCATCATATTCTATGTGATTTCGACGAATTTTCAGGAAATTGATCCTATCGAACTAGAGTTACGATAAAATTGGCGAGCTGCATGTACTGTCCTTGGCAAGATGTCTCTCAAACAAGAGTCAGAGAAGCACGATCCTATTTTCACGAATTCTACATAGCACTACCTGCTACGGAGCTTGGAGACATTTTATTGCACCTATTAGAGCTGTGCTGCAGGGCGCTGCCGCCGCCGAAAATGCAGTTACTGATGCTGAAAATACAAACTTGGTTTATCCTGTGCCGACAGAAAAGGTCTGGAGTGAAAAATTCATGAGAAATTAGAAAAACAGGAAGTTATATAGTAATCAAAACCACATTTACAACATGAAGAGGAAGCTACGTCTAACCAACATATACGAGCGCATATGCACGATCATATACATTATTTCTATACAGGCAGTTTATAAGCGTTTTGACGGCCAGAGATAAGTCTCGCTTCAGCTTGTGAACATGGCTCATTGCTAAATGAAAGAAATCATCTGTGCAATACACCTCTCCCATCTATATCTGCATAAGCATTATCTATATAAGATGAGAATTCTAGTTCGTCTTAATTTAATTTAAATTTGACCATTTCCAGCCTGATGTTGCCGTTTGGCAACACTTTTTGCTGTGGTTTCGAAACAGCCGGCTGGAAAGGGTTAGAAAGTCTTTTAACCGCCACCTGGAAGACGGAAAATCTTTTGTGCAGGTCGCACCGCCGCCGCTGATCCGAAAACTTTTATACACGTCACTACTGATTTTTCGATCGGAGCACACGTCTACACATAACACCTGTGTCTATGTGCTAACAAAGCCGAATTTTCCATATTTTGGTTTGCAGGACTTTTGGATACTGAAAACTTGAAAAGCTCGCAAGAGTCTGAATGAGTTTCTTAAAGATGCTCTGCTATATACAAAGTTAGATCAAAATTCAAGAATATTTTGGGCTATGTTAGCCTCTAGATACATGTATGAGCTTTAGTTGGAGACTAGTCTCACTTCTGCAGATATTGATTTCACCAAGATATCTTGTAAATACGAAATGTTGAAAATTTGTTCGTCGCTTATACGGTACGGTAGCGGCGCTACCGTAGCACCAGTGTATAAGAGGTATATTCCAAAAGCAAATCCAGCAAAAGTCCGATAACTATTGATTAAAGCATCATTCATAGCTGGCGGATGCCTTATTTAATGAGAAATGCTTACTTTATCATTTGGCATCTTTGGAAATATTCTTTGTTTCAGTTTATGAATATGCAATAACTTGTGAAACAGTCAGTTGTTTTAAGTTTTAGAAAACTATTCTGAAAACAGTCAAGAATGTTTGATTAGTCAAAAATAACTAAGGATTCTGATAGTAGACATCATAGACTATCAAGTGACTTTTGACAAGAATGGTCATTCTGACTCACTTATTTTCATCTGACCAATATGCTATCGTGCAGTGTTACACCTTTCAAATATGAATTTAGCGACGAGTATCTGTTGGTAAATCAAACTTAATTTAGTTTGTATTTTTATTTATATTAGCCTTGAAATCATGAAATATCTGGAAAAAATCGAACGCAGCATCTACACATACATATTCACCATAGAAATATCTACACAAGTGCTTCTTGCTTCCAGAGGCTTCGTTTTTTCAATCAAGAAACAAAATAAAACTTAATCAACTGATTTCAGTTCATTTTCTGTTCGAGTTTTCTAAGTAAACTTTGATTTCTAGAACATTTTCTTCGATATATAAGTTGTTTCGAGGCAAATAGGTTCATGATAGACAACCAGTAAAGATTGTACAGGTAAGAATTTTCAAACTTGATCCCACTTTGATATACAGAAAAACGAAAAATTTCTTTTTCTTCGACTCGATCTGATTCGAGATCTGACAGAACCGTAGCCACAGTGTCTGACAATAACCAAAAGTAGTAACTGAGAATTTAGTAATGGTACTTTTTTTCGTACACAGTAAAAATTGTCCTTCATATTTTAGATGTGACTACAGAAAACAATGTCTGATATATATAGAAATATACGTGTAACAAGCTTGAAGCGGGAACAATTAAATGTATATTCATATCTTGTTCTGTAACAAAGAGAAATACTTGAGATGCTTTTTACTTTAGAATATTTCTGATAAGAAGAAAAGACGCAATAAAAATTATGTATGTCGGCTGTGTCATTCTATTCCTTTTCTGAGACTATCTCAAATTTTTAACAGAGACGGTCATCAATAGCCCCCACAGCTACTATTCTAACCATCACGACCAACAAAAGGGCTTTGAATATCTTTCAAGTAATTTCTATTTTTTGTAGTGCTTACTGTGAACAGCATTTTGGGTCTTCTTTCTCTATATTATCAGGTAGACAAGCCTTCTTTTATACAACGATCAAAATCTTGTGATGAACACGTGAGTCGATCTTTTTTGATTTCTAGAATTAAGCTATGTTCTTTCACGTAGCATCAATAAGTCTCCTTTGCTGATATGAATCGCTCTACACAAAGATTGGATTGCATGCGTGAACAGGTCATTTCTCTAGAAGCCACTGACGAGTGAACATTGTCAATTGTCCATGACTATCCAACGCGATTAAGCCAACGTCCGCTATCATCAAGGGCGCTTTGATTTCCGACTAATCCGTAGTTTATGAGACTGTCACACACAGGAAGCCTTTACGGGCAAATAAACTTACGTACGCTTTAAAAGTAAACGCTGTGAGTTATACATAGTGTGGTTATAGGTAATCGATTTCGAACACAACAGTTGGTGCTACTGATGGTGATATTTCGAGGATTTCTTAAATCAGCTTTCTGTAACATTTTTGATTCTGACTGGATTATAGAGCATGTCAAGGGGCTGACTTATATCCAACGATTCTCATGACTATCAGTCGTTGATAAAGTTTGCTACTTTGGCTGGGGTGTTGTGAGTAGTGGCTGAGGATGGGGCTTCATGAAGTTGAATAGATTTTCATAAATATTTACTGCATTTATTTATAACTTGTTTCAAAATATTTGTAACTTCATCAAAACTTGTATGATAAGGCACATGATATGCTCAACGATCCTTAACTGTTTCCAATGAAACTTTTGGAAAATCTGTTAAAAAAACTCATTGTAAAATGCATCATGGGCAACTTTAACCGTTATATTCGGAATCAAAATCATCGATTATCAAGTATTCATCTCTCGACTTTATCTAAAAGGTGAGGGAACAGTCTATGAGATTCCCTTCTGAATGCTCGCTTCGGCTCTGATGTCTTTAGTGCTTCAATGATAAAATATAAAACTTTATCGAATTGGTTCTATCGTTGTCTGAATTCATATCTGTTATTAGATCGTCTCATCGACAGATAAGAAACTGAAGATTGGAAGAAGTTCTTCTCATCGAGGTGTTTCAACTTCAAAATCGCAAGTGAGTTTCGTCGTTGTTTCATATGAGAAATAAGATTGTATAAGTTTTTCTTATATACAGGACTCTGTTACATCGTTCATTGAGAAAACGAATGATATAACTATAAATAAAGTATGTTCTTTAATAAAGTATGGAATATTGGTTTAAAAAGTTTTCTTACACTTTTGACAATACGTCTCGTCAAAAATAAAAAATTTTGTGGATTATCGGGTCTGCTGAATACGAAAAAATACACTTTTCCGCGGCTCTATATGAACTTTACTTTTATCTTGGTGGTATGAGTTTTGCATTATAGAAGGGCCCTAGTAGAACTTCTTGTAACCAAGATCTTGACTTCATGAATTTTTTCGGTAAGATCTTGAACATCTTGTAATTTCTTGACTTCTTGTACTAAGATCTTGGAAATTCTTGAATTATCGTTTTGTTTTACACTTTTGTGTAAATATAATTGGGAATATTTTCACACCTAGAATAACTTCGAATTTTTTCCCTTCTTGACCATAGTTGTTCAAGGAAGAATCTACGACTCTGTATGATCGTATATCCAATGGCTACGACTGTCATAAACAAAAACAAAATGTAAAGAAAATTTGTCACTCTGTCAACATCTTGAGTGGCTTCACTCAAGATCTTAAAATTTTTTAACACAAGATCATGGCCAAGATCTTGAATGAAAGATTCAAGAATCCAAGACCTTGACTTCCTGATGTTTTTTCCAAGATCTTGTGACATTTCTTAACCCAAGATCTTGGGTACAAGAAGTTTCACTAGGGGGGATACAAAGTTGCATGTGTACATAATCTAATATGATGATTGACGTATGTTTTATATACTCAAATATCATTGATGCTACTCTAGTAGTATTCCCACTTCATTTCGCGGCAAGAATATAGCCTCATCTTGCCGCGATTTTGACAAGAAATTTGAAACTTAACGCGAGATCCATACCGCGATCTTAATCCTAATCTTGATCCTAATCTTGCTATTTTTCCCGTGTAACGAAAATTTGACAATCTTGACGTGAAAAGTTTTTGACAGGATCACACTAAAATCCTGCAACGATTGCTACAAGGTTGCAGGAAGGCTGAGAAAGCTTTCCTACCACTTATCCGATTGTCACTACATTCTGTCGATGGTTCAGTCTCTTTTCCACCAAATTTCATCATGTTTTACTCGGTATTTTCTTCGAGAACATGAAGTAATAGAGATTTTCTCCTAGAACACCTTCAGAGTATACAGCAAGTTATTTTTTTTGTTTTGAGTTATAAGCTCCATTTCATTTCAAAGGCACAAAGTTGAACGATTATTAATTTGCTCATCTAAAGTGTTATATTGTTTTTGCTGGGGAGAAGTTTCATCTCATTGCTGTGTACTTACTGATGACAATAGTCAAACAGTTAGTCTATTTTCATTAACTACAACAAAACCCAAAAAACACTCGGAGAAAAACACTCGTTGCACTGAAAAAGTTAAGAAATGACTATAATTGACGTGTATTGTATATCTATTACATATGTTAAAAGAGAACAAAGAATGAACACAGTGGACGATAATATACGCACACTGTCTGTCTGTTTTTCTTCTTCTATCGACGAATGGAGGAAATAAAAAAATATTACATCGTTACAGACTGAGATAAGAAAAATACAAAGTCAGTGTGATCCTAGTTTCGTGCAAGGGTTGATTTTGTACTTTGATAGTTTCAGGAACAGAATGATATAATAGCAAAAAAATTTCTCAACGGTGGGCAAAGGAAGAATCTCCTCAAGATCTTGTCTCGAATTAGACGCGATCTTGCTATAATCCTGCCGCGATCTCGTCACTGTCTTGAAACACAAATGAAACGGGAGCGCATAACGAACTTGACCAAGAACACAATCCAATTATAAGATCGCGATTATATTTTGTCAAGATCAGCATTTTTTCGTTACACGGGAAAAAATTAGATTCGTGATCAGATCTCAGCAAGAATGAAACGGGAATATCACTAGGGTAGCCTAACCCATCCAGTCAACCATTGCAACTCGAGACTTGAATCCACCCCAGTCGATTTCTGATGGTGATTCGAGGTCGGATTCATGTTTTTCAATATAGAACATATCAATGTCTGCAATAACTGGATTAACAGATAATTCCAAAAGCGTAGTAATGAGCAATCAAAAGAAAAAGAAGAAAAGGAGACGGTTACACAAGTTCGTATATGCTATGTGGCGTTAAAAGTCTAACTGTTATTGATCATTCAACTATTTAGATATGGTTACTGTTGGATAATGTATTTTTTGTGTACAATGTTGGCTTTAATAGCTTTAGCCATGTTAATTGCTGCACTGCTTATTCTATTAAGTATAATTTTAATCATTTTTGGTTCACAACAAACTCCATACTTTATTGTGGACTTTAGAGCGAACGCCAACTACCACAATCAAATCAAGTAAAAAGATATACAAAAGACGACCTTTCAGTTACTGTTCAATAGAGAACGAAATACTGAACAAAATGATATCTAAACAGTCAACTCTCTGTTGGCATTGTGGTTCTTGGGCACATTGAGTATCTTTCGATACGCTTCTACCTTTTTGATTATCTGTAGGCTTAAAAATAGTAGTACACACTCTCAAACTGTGTGTGAATAGATAGCTCTTGAAAAGCTCTACAGGACGGCTTATTAAGTTTTGCTATTCATTTCGAATTCTTTTTTCGAAAGACTTTTTACTGCGTTTATCAGATCATAAATGACGTCTGTAGGGCTAATTAACTACAAAGTTTTTTTGGTAAAGTCAAGGTAATATTCATACTTTCATGAACATGTCTCCAACTTTCTTGTTACTCAAATGAACGAAGTTATTAAACGAAATGTTGTATGATATTTTTAACTGTAACCTTTGCTTAATCGTTGGTTTTCGAAAAGATAACAAGGATGTGTGATATGCTAGTCGTTCCAAAAATCTATCAATCTACTATATTTTATTAAGTCCTCATACGTGAATATACGCTTCGAAATACATACCGAAACTTGAAAGTTGCCCGGGACCTTATTAACATACTACGATAAATGCTTTCGATCAAGACAGATTCTTGTTTGTATCTTATCAATATTACCTTAGCTTTACCGAGAAATAGTTTACAGTCGAAAATAAGTTAAGTTAAAATAAGCAACGCTGACGCCAGGATCGTAGCGATTCGCTCTCATCAAGGACCCTTTGATTTTCAACTAATCCGTGGTTTATGAGGCTGTCACTTGAAAACACATAGGAAGCCTTTACAGACAAAAAACTTCACGTACGCTTTGAAAGTAAAGGCTCTGAGTTATTCCATCTTTTGAGATTATAACATCGACTGTTTGTGATCAAAAAATCTCTTTTCTAAGCATCAAGTTTCTTTAATGTAACTAGGGTACACCGATATCAGTGCGTATAATATTTCAGTGGATATAAAACATACGTGGATTTTCTTCAAAGCTTTTGTTTACTTGTAAAAGTAAAGCCTAGATTTTTGAAACAAAGAATTTGAGCAGGTAAGCCGACTTTTCGTTTTCTGTTCGAATCGATTTTTTTCGGCGATAAGCGTATCTGTGCGGTATCTGAATCACATTCCACGACTTAGTTTCTCGAGGCTTTTACGTGAGGTTTCTGACGTCTGAGATTCTCCTCCGGAAAATTGAAATAGAACTTCTTAAGATCTAGTTTATTTGTGATGCAGTCTAATGCTAACCCAAAAACAGTCGTGATAAAAAAATTTTAGTTTTCAATTTTCCTTAAGTGAACCGAGGACGAATTTTTAGGTCAGAAGGCAAAGTTATAAAAGCATGTGAGATATATCTCATTCGATTCCACTTTCACATAGATTCCTAATATGACCTTTCTTTTGAGACTAACGGTTATTTTAATAGTTAAATTCAGCAAACATCATCCGATAGCTGCTGAGAGTAAGGGATTTTCGAATTTTTGACCCTGATTTACAATTATGTTCGTTGGTTTGAGGTAGCCGATCAATAGAGTATAGAAAGTTAAATTTACTGATATGTTGTTCCTATTATTTCGGAGCTTCCTTGGAATACAGTAAAGAAGTACAAAGCTAAAACCGATATTTGTTTTCTAAGTTGATTTCCTGCCTTCATTTTGTGGACCAAAATGCAATTTCCTCCGGAAAACTCGGCTTTTGGAATCATATTTAAAAAATATGATATAAAATATCATATTTAAAAAACGTTTCCCAGAAAGCTTGAGACATTAGAAGCCTCATATCAAAACTTCCGAAAAGTAACCGATGGAATGTGGTCCAGAAACCATTCTGATACACTTCCTATAGAAAAAAATAAATCCCAGTGAGAGACATGGCCTACACCCCAACATTCTTTTGAAACCCGTTTCTTCTGTTGATCTAGCTTGTTTAACATTGATGACTTTTGATGATATAACAAACGCATCAACAACTGGAATTATAAATATTATCTATAATGGTATGAATTGGACCAATGGGTGGTATAATAATGTCACAAGATATGCTCCTGGTATTAATGGTTATCCTACTCCACTCCAATCTGGTCATTATGTCAGCTACTATACTGGTACTGCACCTGTTATAATGACTTCAGCTAATGGTAGTCTATTTACATTAGATTCATTTTATGCTTCAGCGGCTTGGAGAGATAATTTACAATTCACATTAAATGGTTATCAATCGAGTACAGTTATTAAAAGTCAAACATTTACATTACAAGTATTTAATGTATCTTATTTAGCATTCGATGGATGGAATAGTTTAGATACTTTAACTTTTACAACATCAGGAGGAACTAAAAATTCAATGGTAGGCACCAATAGCTCTCAAATGGCATTCGATAACTTATGTATAACGTTTACCTGACTAATTTAGAATTAATAACAGCTAATTGATTTTCTTTTTCTTCTAGTAAGCTATGCACAAGCTATGCAACAATATTTCTGCAATAAAACTCAAGCTCTAATATCTTTCGAAAGGAGTAGTCCGCATAAGACTTGAAATCAGTCCACTAAATTATTGTTATTTTATTGCCTCAAAGTCTTCAGAATTCATCAAACGTATCTTATTCAGTATTTTCGACTTTATCTGACGATTCCGATTGGACGTATACGATCAAATCTACTCGCAAAGAAACAGCTCCGTTACACTATTAGTATTACGGTAAAATTAGAATTTCTCCGCAACTATACAGTATTTTGTCTAGTGTAATACACCACTCGATGCGTCTTGAAAAGCTCTACAAGTCGAGTTAATAGGAACCTAAACGAAGCCTGGCTGCGGCCATTATGAATCAAATACTAGATTTTTTCATAGGTCGCCGCTATGCTACTCGAACTGCCGATCACTTTTCTCTATGGAACTAAAGGTGATCCCTAATCATTCATACACCATTTGAGGCGTCTTGAAAAGCTCTACAAGGTGTGTCAACAGGAACGGTATTCTTTTAGCAGGTGTTCCCCCTAAATACGTGGTGACATTACAGCTGGTGTTCCCCATACAGCTATGGTGTTCCCTCACTACCGCTATAAATAGCACGGTAACATTACAACTGGTGTTTCCCATACAGCTATAGTGTTCCCCGTAGTATCATTATAGCTGGTGTTCCCCATATCCGTTTAGTGTTCCCTTAATAGCAGAAGATCGAGTAAAAAGTGTAGTTCAATATTTTAATCGAAAAAATAACGAAAAAGAAAATCAT